TAGCCAATTGCCTACGCAAGATACTCAATGTTTGCTGTCCGCATACCATCAGCAACAACCTATTATCGGAGACGACAAACCAACTCCCAGCTGAAAAGATAATTAGTAAAAGACGTTGGAGGTGGATAAGATACACATTGAAGAAATCATCAAACTACATCACGAGGCATGTACTAACTTGAAACTCTGAAGGAAAATGTATAAAAGGCATAACAAGGAACACAGTGAGTCGCGTATCGGTAACTGACATCAAAGGAATGGAAGACAACTTGAAACAACTGGAAAGTATCGCCTAGAACACAGTCTTACGAAGAATGTTGGTGGATGGCTCATGCTCTTCCATGAGGGGTAACAGGCGTAAGTAGGTAAATAAATAAATAAATAAAAAGCTAGTTCTTTAATCTTCACCATCAAGATCTAGATTATAATAAGAAATAATATTAACATTCGGAAACATAACACTAAAAATTTGATTAAACTTCTAATTAAAATTTCTATTCATTTCGGTCAGTTATCAGAAAAGTGTTTTAACACTACTTATTTTTTCCGATAGATTAGCATTGTCCTTTGATATATTCCCATAAATATTTCAATTTGAAATTAAAGCTGATTGTTATTATTTGGCAATTCAACCAAGAAAAAGAAAATACATTTTGCTACTCCGATGATCTGTAAACGAATGTTTTATAGAATGTTTAATTGTTTAGAATGTTTATCACTACCTTTTTTTATTTCAAAACATTAAGAATCGTTTTTTTTAATTTTGTTTAAACTCAACTTAACTTACCATGAATTTTAAAACAGTGCTAAGAAATAATGATAATTTCTAACTAATCTCTTACATATTATCCTACAACATTATAAAGCGAAGAGTGTTTAGTTTGAAGTATCTTTATCACTAAAAAGCAACTTTTTTATTTATACGAATCATTTAAACAAGACGTTCCGTTATTTCTTCTGTAAAGTAATTTCTAAAAGTATTGGACGGCCGTTATGTCCTATTGTGAGACTCCTCAGCAGTGCATATCCACGACCTCGCCTCGCGTGATTCGAACACAGGACATCAGCCTCGAGTGCAAGTGCTTAACCACTAGATCACTGAACCGGCATTCAGCAGTGTTAATGTCCAACTTCAGCTTACCCACGAAATTGAATGACACATCCACCATCGTCATCGGTGAGTTACGATCTTACAACAAACACTAGTCACTGCTTCTCACTCGAACGACAGAATATACCACTTGAAACTGATAGGTCCTAGGTTAAATCACGCGATTCAGGGTCGTGAATGAGCACTGCCGAGAAGTTCCACACTAGAACGAAACAGCCCTCTAGCGCTTCCAGGTTTCCCATGGCGGTCTAGCTTCAACTGACTCATGATCTCGACTATTAAAATTATTACAATCTCCACAGAACCCGTTCTGATACTAACTTCTAAAGCAATCGTGATCACCTTACAACTACTAACCTAACCTGGATCAAACTAATAAGCTTAGAGTCTCGTGGCTATAAGAATGCTATGTTTCGAATCACTATACATCCGTTAATAATTGATTTACAATATAGCAATATTATTCTTCAACACTAAGTGATACTTATCTTACTTCTAACATGAAAGAATCAGTCCTTCATTGGTTCTAAGTTATATTTCTTGGATTCTTGCTGAACCTATTCATGTGCTAAATGACGATTATACTTTGCTCAATTTTAACTATGGTGCTTACTCAAGACACCATTTCTTTGTATAGCTAGGAGTAGAGAATGTTTCACAGCAGATATGAAAGTATCAATAACAAAAAAATATTGAACCAATATAGTGTGTTATATAATTATGCAAGTAGCAATTATAAGCTAAAATTTTATTTACATTTGAAGCATACAGTTATGTTTTATTTGAGTAATTAACTGATAAGGAAAGAATATATAATTAGATCTATCACCGTATGTGACTGAACAAAAATAACTATTATGTTGTACCAGGTCAAACTTATGTACCCAATTATCAAAGAAAAATAACACAGAAAAAGATTATATATAGATATCTATGAGAACAAACAAAAGAATATTTTGATGTGAATTAGGACATGAAATATTTTGAAATAAACCCATATGTTCATAACCAGGACATTTATTTAATAGAGCTGTTAGGAGAGTATATTTAATTCATGTTTCTGAAATGTACAACAGTCCGGATAAGTACAAATATTTGTTTAAAGAAAAATATTTTTGATAAAAATAAAGGGAGAATTGTAGGTAAATGAGACAGGTCAAGGATGGAAATCAGATAAAAAATATAATTGAGGTAAGACAAATCGTATATCATATAAATAGAGAAATAGTGAGTATATTCGCAGGAAGCATTTCGAAAAAATAGATGCTAAACTTTACTATATTGCTCTAAGGAACACAGATCTGACATTATGACATACTTAAGTTGAATTAACAGTAGTTAAAAAACTGTATCAAATTAACGATTTAATGATGAGTCGTGAAGAAGTGCGAACCTTCAGTGAAAAATCTCATAACAGTACTTAAGCTTTCCAAGCAACTGTCAAAGGTTAGGATTATAAATGATCAGTATCAGACTGTTCTAAACAGCTTGAATAATTCACTGAAAACACTATACAATTATATTCGTAATGCCACTGTTTTGTCAACTGTCCTACTGGTTACACATGAAACGGGAACCACAATAATTCCTATAAGGTTACTATGGTCTAGTGATAATGAAAATCTATTGACTTCCGAAAACATGTACGTAACACAACAATATCACTAGTGGGGAAAAATACGTAGAGTTACTAAAAAAGCACAGCGAATATAGTTCACCTGATTTGGTACAGAGGATATAAATATCACACTGAAGTTCATACATGTCATGCTGAATGAATTCCTTACTGAAGTGATACAAAATATTATCTTTTTTTATTCCGTGACCTCATAGACACATTAATCGTTTTATGGAGCTTACTAGATTACTGTTTTTTCTATAGCATTTATTCTGTTTTATTCACTGATTGAAACTATTCCACAAAACTAGATTTTGATTGACTTGAGATTATTACAATATTATCTCAACTAAATCAAACCTTGTAAATTTCAGTATTTTTAAGGTTATTACTGGACATTAAGTTGAATAATATTCCTAAAGATTTTATTAGTGTTAGCCACTAGTTCCATCCTGTCTATCGTAATATTTTTGGCATAATTTACGAAAAACATCGTTAAGAAATCTACATATAATATAGTAACTAACCAGTATTTAATGAAAAATTGTAATGATTTGAATGTCTGTGTAAATTATGTTCCTTGATTTCCTGTTAGTTTCTTTTTGTAAATGTATTACTTCACTATTTTAATGGACAATAGAAAATTGGACATTTTGTATTGTTTATTTGAATTATCCCAATGATGTTTAGGATAGCAATTGATCAGTCTCTTATTGGCATGTGTACACTTTCTGTGAATTGCAGATTGTCTTAAGTCACAAACATTATAAGCAAAGATGGTGGCTAGCGTTGGAATCCAGGACTCGCGTTTCGTCATATTTGAGACTTGTCAGCTGGACGTACCTACATCTCAGAGTTGATGTTCACCCCGGGGATTCCAAACCAGTACCGTTCGCTTCAAACGCTATCGCGTTATAAACTTAGCTACTGAGTTCTTGTAGCCACCAGCTTGCGCAACGGAATGAAGTTTAAATTCATTCTGTACAGTTGGTTTCAATCCTCTCACTGATGTTTAGGATTGCAAGTACATCCAACTGACGAGTCGAAAGTGGTACGAAACGCACGTCCTGGATTCCACTACTAGCAAAAACCCATCTTTGCTTACAATACATTTTTGGTTTTATCTTGCCGTGTCTATTTGGTTTATTCTATGCACTTTTCAAAGTGTTCCAAATCAATAAATATCTTTTTCTTCTCTTGAGTGAAACACTCACCTAGTTTATAATATGCTCAGATTTTATAAGAAAATCTCATTCAAATAGGTCATAAGATAGATGTTTTATTTATTTTTCTCATTACTGAAAAACAGATTATTTATTACTGTATTTGTCTTATTTTCCTGTTGATGTACGTTCTCTCTCGATATAGTTGTATTGGCTGGGGATGACCGTTTAAAGGAGTCAATTTTAGTCAGTGAGTGGAAACCTATTCTCCGATTCAGAGAGAGCAAAACTAAGAGTGTCCATTGAACCAACAGAAAGCGCTGTTCAAATGTCAGCAAACACGGTCACTAGTCATAATCAAGAACTTCAAAATGCCGAATACACACAGAATTAGATTGATGAATATAATAAAATCCAAGCAAGCAAATAAATTCACATAATAAACGAAAAGAACTTTAAAGTCTACAATATCATAATTTTTACAGTCCTTAAATGCAGAAACTCATTAAACTGTAGGTTCACAAAGATAAATGAAGAATTGTTTAGGGATGCCAAAATGTCTCAAATAATACTACAAAAACGTTTTCTCAGAATTTCGTGAATAAGGGGCGATACAACAGGCGAAAAGTAAACCTGATAGACTCAAATTTCATTGGTTTTTGAAGGATTCACATAAGCAATGTAAATCAGCCATCGTCATTTCTTATGAATTCTGATCTTGTTTTCTTTTTTTTATTAAGAATTCGTTACAAGCTTATCATTTTTTTGTTATCTAAATGACTCATATTGCACTGACCAGCTATTCGGTGTTCAAATACCCGTTCGTTGTGAGCTTTGGTTATTTATTTAAAATCCTAGCAACCATTATCCGGTCATTATTTAGCCAAGGGATGGATGACACTAATCCGACAACCGATAAAATTCATACAAATCTTTCGATAATATAACATTCATTTTCGTAATTATAAAACAGTTATAAATACGTAATTGATCTCCACTTTTGAAGACTAAGTTAATTAAACTATAACAAACAAAAAAAAGGTTTTATAATTTTGTTTAAAAATATCATACATTATAAGAACAAAATGAATAGTTTTAATAAACTTACAAAATACAACCTTGAGGTATCCTAACTCCTAATGTAATAGCATCAGCAAGTGATAAAACTGTCATTAATATATAAGCAGACGCTGAAAACTTTCGGCATATGAATATACTGAAATTAATAATATTCAATATGAAACCAATTGAACAAATTGTTGTTTGAATAAATACATAAGCAATAGCTACTATATATTGATAATCAATTGATGTTTTATATGATAATTTATTTGTTTGATATGAATTATTATTATTATTGTGAGAGGTAATTAAGATGGTCTCACTTGTATTCATACTTCGTAGATATGAAATTTGCTTTGTTTTTTAGAATTGGCTTTTCGTAAACAATTTAATGTAAAACACTGCATTGATTCTATTGTTCTTCCTGAAATTTAAATGTACAAAGAGAATAATAAGCAAAGGATAGGGAAACAATCATTTTTCATACTGAAGAGAAAAGAATATACTTCCTATTGCAAGAATCATTTATACAAAAAAAATGTTTAAATAGATTTAGCATAGAAATCTATTTCTGAAGTAAAACTTAAATGAGATCATTTCAACGAATGTATGATCAAAAATAGAAGTTCGTAATGAGTTAAAGAATCTTTTTCAGTCATCTATCCATATTAACTTGATGGTCTGAATAACGTATTTTATTAAGTTACTTTCATACTACTACATTTCAATGAATTTTGAAATCCATAAAATGAAACGAGACTTTGGAAATTGATACCGTGAAGTGTTATTGCGGTTTGCGTTGGTTAGGTTAGTAAATTTCATATTTATTTTACATATTTTTAAATGGTCATTAATTCATATGTCATTTATTTCCACTTATACAAATATCTACTTTAAATATTGTTAACGGTGATTGGATGACCTATTCAGTATACAGTGAACTGGAGAACGGTATATCTATTTCTATTTGATCATTTTGATGTTTGATTATATTTCTTTGAAAAACTTGAAACAGATTGACAGGCGAAACGTTGAATTTACTTCGAATTCATTCGCTGAGATTTTACAAATACATTCTTCCCGTTTAGTGTCTCATATCAACTGTGAAACTATTCGATCAAGTTTAGACAAAAGTTCTTATATATTATATGACTGATTATATATTAAACATCGAACTGTTGTTAAACCTTTTTATATGGTAAGACTGAATGAACTTAGTTCAATAACATATGATGGATATATGATTTTTCGTTGCTATTGTAAATGTTCTACATACAAGTTACTTCAAATTTTATGATAAAATAATACAAAGAAAATTAAATATTTTCTTCAAATAGAAATATTATGGCAGCAGAAAAAGTATTCGGTAATGAACATGCAACATTGTTCTAAAAACAGTAAGCAAGCATAAGTCATTACGCAGGGACATGGATAGCACACAAGTAAGATTAAATAAAAGTAAGCACAAAGCTATAAGTAAACCGAATGCCTCATATTTGAGAAACTGTTATTCTGAGTACATCATTTGTTAGTTTACAATAATGAGAACGGACATTAGTGAACTTCTATTTAAAGGATTATAAAGCTTGTATTAAATTAGATTAAATTATCACGTGTGGTTCTTTGGTCATATATATTCATCAAACATTCGTTATTCACTACTACTGAATGGTGTTTAAAAATCGGAGCACTATGTAAACCATTTTTCCGTGTTCAGACCAATGAAAATCAATAAATGGAAGCAACACTACTTGAATGTTGGGCAGGACATCACCCTGAGCTATGGTTGCACCACCGAGGAGTTTGTTCAACTCTTGGAAGATGATGGCGCAATATGTTGGATTGAATGAGTTTAGACGTTAACACCGTCGGAAGACAACCTAATGATCTAAAGTTTCAGTGTCCAATTCCAAGTGTCAGTAGCTGGTAAGTTCCACACTAGGACAAGACGACCGTCCAGTTCTTCCCGATTTTCGGCGGGGGGTTAACTTAGATCTATTAGTGATTTCAGTGAAATTCGATAATCTTGGGAATCCCATACTGACAGCCATGTATAGTTATTCAACTGCATTGTATTGTTTAACGTAATGTATTAAGCTGACAAAAAAATTATAAGGAGATACTTTTTATGCATAGATTTCCCCTAAAATACAACAGCATATTAATGAAATTTACTATCTTTTTGAGTATTTTCAGGTAATGGCTAGAAAATCTTTTGCCTACATTTCGTTCAAACTGATGCTAATCAGGAGGAAACGTTCGAAGACTTGATGCAAATGCTGCTTCCTTTTTGATTCAAACCATCATCATACATCTGTATTAAATTCTTCTAAGCGTAATAAAGTTATTCTTACCCATTCCAAAGAGGTGATACAAGTATAGATTTGTAAAATGTAACCAGTGATTTCAGATATTTGCTTTATATTAAGACAACATCATTATCCACATACATTCTTTACTTTAAAGTTATTTTATTTCAGTATTCCTGCTTCGTTTCAAAAATTCCTTTCATTTATGGCATAGGAAAATTAATAAACTAGTAAAATTACAAGGACTTAAATTCAATTACCTTTTTTTACATAGTAAATGGTTTATAGAACTGGATTTACAGTGAATGCAAATGTAAACAATAATTTTAAATCTTTCTGCTAAACATTTCGTCAACCTATCGTTTTTTGTTTGTTTATTATTTTCTCATTAATGTATGATATTTCATTTCAAACGGAAAGAAAAGTAATAAAGAAGTTAAATTAGTCTTTCGGAAAGCGAAATATCAACAATATGTTTGTTATATTTTATTTGTTCAAATCTGTTGTTGTTTGTTATATCCCGATAAGAATAATGAATGGCAACCTTTGGGATCCATTTATGAACCAATGCTATGAGTATATTTTTATCGTATAATTGTTATGTAACTAAACTGTTCATATTCATGTCTCTCTTATTATGAGTTTTATTTTGACCTATGAACTATTATTATACGACTTACCATTCTTGAGTTTATGGCCTGTCTATTAATTACTATCTCCTTCATTCACAGCCACTTTTGGCTAAATATTGTACAAATGTTGTTTCATATTTTATGGTACGTTGTGGTCTGTCTGGTTGATTTATAAACCGCGTATATTTGAAATAAATGATTCATATTGCAGAGGCTGGAATTAGTGTTCTGGACTTAACTGGCTGGGCTAGACAGGAAGCGAGACCAATCAGGACTCTAGGCTGCTCGCACGTGTTTACGCGCCATTGATCCGATCGATAAGTCGCTGTTCTCTGATTGGAGGTATCGTTGCGTTATACAATAACAAGGCACACAGATCCACAAGTTATAACATTGTCATGGAACATTAAGAAGGTAAATTATGATATGAATTGGGAAGTTAATATATTTTAGAAAATTTAAAACTATGATGATAATATAACCTTGTTTTCTTTTAGAAATTTTAATGTTTTGTAACAGTTCACTCTTTATAGATACGTATTACAGATTTAAATGTTTTACGTGGGAAATTATTATAGAGACCTTAATGGTTATTATTTTTGCCAATATTAGATAAACTGTCAATTTAAATTGCTTATGAAATAAATGACATTATGAAAAAATCATGGAAAGAACTTTTTTGACATAACCTAACAGTCTTATTTAAATGCCAGTTATTAAGCTGAAGATTTTTAAGAATTGGATTAAAGAGATAGATCCTAAAGACTAATAGTTTGTTTTCAAGTGATCAAATTATATGATTGTTTTGTATCAACGCATGGAAATCGCTTTTACACTATGTCTGTTAAGTAGTAAATGTGCATTTCAATGATAAGTGAAATCCAAGTTTTTAATAGACACACAAAGTGCTAGATAAGTGGGCACTTATGTTATATTCTACACAAATTTTAAGTCTATTTTGATAACATGAATTACATTTCAAGAAAATAACCTATTTTTAGCGTATGTAAACATAAGATTCTATCTGTTGGTTAACTTATCGCCTCCATAGAATGTATTAACTAGTACATTTAATACGATACGAACTTTGATCTAGTAAGGTATATTTTTTAATAAAAAGTTTATATTCGAAGTGAATCTAACCGCTTTGCGTATGTAACTACTGAGTTTCATTGGTAATATTATTTAAGCTGTTTACACCAATTTTTTTTATTCCATTAAGTTTCTAAATAATAAGACAAGAATGTTTGAAGTAACCGGATTTTTTTTTTAATAATCATGTATAAGTATGATAAAATAATCATCAATGATTTAAAGTTTGTTTATGGATATTTTAATTTCTAGTTTTAATGGTAATTCAAGAGTTTTCTACACTAGAGTGATAGTAACATACTTTTATCATGATTATATTTCAAAATATATTTACTGTGTTAGCAACCTAAGTAAACAAAACAGGTTCAAATGTATTGGTTAAAAGTTCGTTTTTATTGACAGTTATCTCATTAGAATGAAGGTTAAATAAATAATATCGCTACAGATTGTTTTTTAAAAAAACTATCAACTAGAATAAAACCGAATTCAAAAATGTAGTGAGTTCCGATCCTCATCAAGATGACTAACGATTCAATAATCCGAATCATCTATTGAAACAGGTGATTATTAATATTGTATTGTATATGCACGTTTCTGACAAGATGTTTGCAAATCAAAATGGGGAAACTTAGCATTAATAAATAATGTTCGATACACTACTGTAAAACCATGTTATACTTGTACAGGTTCTTTTAAATGATTAATAACGACTAACATGTTGATGTAGCATTCCAGAAAAATCTTTTTATGTTATTATTTTAAGTCAATGTGTGCACTATACACCTTATTGATAGCTTGCTTGCTGTTTGACATTAACTTCAATAAACAATAAATCTTCCTTAATTTTGTGCAGTGAAATGAAGATATAACACAAAAAAATTAATTGTTTATCAATCTATCAGAAGTGATTATTGCTATCTTCAGTTAGTTTTCCCATAAAACCAATTGCCTAATCAACCGTTCATTGTTTATATTTGTTAATCACATTAATTAATAACGAAGTGTTTAATTCCAGTAAATAAATTTTGATAATCTATTGTTAAGAGTTATCGGCGTATTACTTGTTGGTTAATTATAATCTATGAATAAAATTATTTTTCTTAAAAGTGATTGTTTTTGATTAGTCAAAATCGGTATTACGATAGCCAAAAGGATTAGTAGTAAATAAATATCAACTTCCTTTTTGTTATTTGTTATCCTTTACACACTGTTAAGATGTTATTCATGCTCCCAAATGCCCTGATACGGACGAAGGTGGGGAGAGTTATCTCTCCATATCGAAATGCTCTCACATAGCCAC